GAATATTAAATCAGGTGCTTATTCTAGAATATGAACTTTTTATTACCATTCATTTGTTGTTATCAGGTACCTAATTTTTGTGTTATCTTAATTAACTAGTGTTGGGATTGTTTTTGTCCTTTTCATGGAAGAATCAAATGAAATATCCCTTCAATTGGAACTTTTTTTAAATGAAAAATCCATAGCCCATAATTAAAACTCGATGTTTTAGGATTTTGGAGCATTTTTGAAAATTTTATACCTATTCATCATATTTCATTTTGATGGAGAAAAAATAAGGAATTTAATGAGCTTATAAAATACAGGGTGTTCCATTTAAAAAATCATAAGTTTGAGTCGTATCTCCGAAACTATACCCAGAAAAAAAATTTTGAGTGCGCCACTGAATTCTGCACAAAATTCTGTATGGGATGAGATTCCAATTTGTCATTTTCGCTGAGAAACTTCGTAGATATAGAGGGGGTCCAAAAAGTATAAATTTTCAAAATCGCCCTGTATCTCATAAACGCAAACAGTTATGCAAAATCTGATTAGGCCATCTTGAGTTTCACAGAAAAGTGGTACAGGACCGCGAAAACCGCAAGGTTCTATCTCGAAAGATAACTGAGATATCACGCAAAAGCATCGAAAACTGGACACACTGTACTGTGTAATGACAATCAAAGTGCTTAAAAACTTGTATCAAATCCTGTCTTTCATAACAAGACAAAACACATTGATGTCAGGTTCTATTAGGCTTGAGCTAACAACATCTACATGCAACACTTTGGACGTTAACATATAGAACAAACTTCCATCACACATTAAAAACTTGAATATCTACAGTTATAAAAACACAATTAAGAAGCTCCTTATTGAAAAAGCCTTTTATTCAACTCAGGAATATATGGAGACTCCATTCATTTAGGTACCTGAACCTCACAGACTAACCCTAACAGAAAAAACTCCAATGTACTGGTGTATAAAGTTTTACAATAGAATACCTTCAAAATTGAAAATAGAACCCAGCCTTAAAAAATTCAAACAGTCAGTTCAGGAATTATTGATTGAAATAGAACCATATACCATAGATGAATTTCTTGGTTCAAGTATATTTCAATTCAGTGTCAGTCAGTTACTTGTTTCATTCATTTATTTTTAGCTATTGTTATTATAATTATGTATATCTATTTTATTTGCTAACAATGTAATTTCAATCTGTCCGTTTTTTTTTTCTAGTGTATTTTAGTGTTTTGTATCTCGATCAAATGTCTTTATTTTACTCATTAAGTATGTATTTTTTAACATGTTCGTTTTTTAATAGCGATTTCAGTACCTTCTTCTTTCTCAGATGTTCGTTTGTTAACAAACATCATATCATTTGACGCCAGTTCATTTAATTGTATTTATGTATTGTAAATGTATGAGTACACTTCTTTGAATAAAGCTATCTATCTATCTATCTATCTATCTATCTTTACTGATAGTTTGTCTGTACTCTACATTGTGTCTATGTATCATATACGTATTATTAATCAATAGGGATAATCTCTATCTGTTTCCATAGCGAAACATGAAGCCGATTTTTGAAGACAAATGACTATCCATAAGGAAAAGTTTTGAAACGATCAGACACATACTGCTTTGATTGAAAGGCTAGTAAACGTCATTGTCCACCGAAACGCATGTCTTTGATGACTACTATAATAGCGCATGGCGCATGCGTATCATGCCACCAAATCCTTATCGATATTCATTTGTTTCATATTTTTGGCTTCATCCAAGCACCCGTTATGATCCGTATTGTTTATGAATACGTATATGCTATGTATATAGTGTAGTATTATGTCATTTTAATTTCTTGTATTTTATTGATCCACTGGGATTTCTTAACTTTTACTTATAATGATTATTAGTCCTACTAACTAACCTTTATTCATATTTTATATTAGATTACTGATTTACACTTATTTTGTTCATTGTTTTGTATAATAGGTACGCCCAATTATCTGTACCACACTTTTGACTTGCTACAAATGTATTTATGCATAACGTGGTTAAATAAATTCTATTCTATTCTATGTTAGAGAAATTGTTGAAAATGGTTTCATTGATATTAAATATGTTCCCACTTCAGAAATTGCTGATGTTTTTACAAAAAGTTTGAATAGTTTAAAACATAAGTTTTGTATAAATAATTTAGGAATCAATTGAAATTGATATATAGATGTATTTATTGTTCCAGTTTTTTTGTTGAAAGGAATTGATATTCTGTTATTGTTATATTCTTTATTTGAAATATATACTAGATTGAGGGGGGTTATTGGAATATGTAATCTAGTACATTATTTAATTTAGTACTAGTACAATAATTTTGTGATCATCTGCTTTTGATACTGACAGAATTTATTTATTTATTTATTTCAGTTATTGCATTACATTCTCTTCTTCATTGATACATTTCATACAAATAATATATAAAGTATAATTAATTTTCTAGTAGGAATGACATGAATGATCAGACAGTAATTCCTGGTATAAGATCATTCATGAAGTATTATCGACTGTTGTATAATTGAAATTACAAATAGTGAACAAAACTTACATATCATCAAGATACAGTCATATTATAGTGAATAAGAAGGGGAAAAATGAAAACAGTGAAAAAGAAAAAAGGAAATTCATATTCTTTCAGCTTTGATCATTCCTTTGCATATAAATATATTTCTTAACTTTATTTTTGAATTGCATAATATTTGGGCTGTTTTTGATATCATCTGGTAATTTATTGAATTTCGAAATCGCCTCATGTGTAAACTTTTTTTGCCCAAGTTTAGAATTTGCAGCTTCAAGATGAAACAAGTTATATTGTCTAGTGTGATGATCATGAATTTCGGAATTCCTGATTAATATAAAATTTGATTTAAGCTTTTTGTTGATGATATAATAGGAAATTTTTAGAGTATTGATTAAAAAGTGCTCTTCCAAAGAAAATGTGTTTGTTTCCTTATACAGTTGATTCGTTGGAGTATCATATGGAAGACGATACAATACTTTCAATGCCTTTTTATATAGAACAGAAATTTTGTTGAAACTATTTTTGGAACAAGATCCCCAAATATTAATGAGATAGTTAATTCGACTGAGTATATGTGAATAGAGAATGATATTTGATGTATATGTACTAAGTTTAGGACATCGTCTCAAAGCACCAATAATGGGAGATACTTTTCCTATGAGGATGTCAATATGCTTTCCCCATGTTAATTTCTCATCAATCCATATACCAAGGTATTTGGTATGGGCAGTTTGTTTCAAACGTTCATTTTTTATTCTAATATTCAGATCAATATTTTCTTTATTTCTTTGACGAAAAATCATATATTGAGTCTTATTAGAATTGAGAGAAAGAAGATTGGAATAAAGCCATTTCTCAATTTTTTTCAAGTCCTCATTTATGATATGTTCTAGAACTACTGGGTTTTTATTCTCATATAGAAGCACTGTATCGTCTGCATATATGGAATAGTTTCCTATCAAATTCATTCTTTCAATATTTTGAATGTATAATAGATAAAGAATTGGACCCAACACTGATCCTTGAGGAACCCCTTTGTTTAAATATAGTATCTTAGACTCACAGTTATTAATTTTAGTTATAATAGTTCTATTTTCAAGATATGATTTCAAGAGATCGTGTCCAATTCCTCTGATTCCCATTGAAGCAAGGTTTTTCAGAAGTATATTGTGGTCAACTGTATCAAAAGCCTTTTTTAGATCCATGAAAATCGCTACTACATAATTTCCTTTGTCAAGTCTGTCCTGAATGAAATTGATTACTTGTAGCACTGCAGATTGTGTACCACTGTTTTCTTGAAATCCGAATTGGTTCAAATCGAATCCATATTTTTTATTGATAAAATCTACAATTCTTTTTTTGAGAATTTTTTCTAGAATTTTGTCAATGCACTTTGGTCCGTGCTTTCTTTCTGATCTACGGTACTCTGTCATGTCTATTTTGTTCATGTCTGAATGTGTTGTGTTAGATAAAACTAAAATCAACCAGCATCGGTTTAATTTCTTTACAAACTGTAGAGTTTGAGACGAAAATTCCAACATATAATAACCTACTGTTGCATTAATGCAATATAGAATTAGGAACTTCTGCAACACAAAGATATGTTGAAAATAAAATATGTTATGAAGTCATAAGGCTTGTCTAAGTGTTCCACTAGGTGCTGGTATAGTTTATTATGTGAAAACCTTAATAATCTCATTAATCTCCAAAGCCCTATTTTTTTGGATCTTCTACTGTTCCTCTGAGGTGAAGAAAAATTATTATATTGCAAAATGCTTCAGTGCCAATCATAATATCCTAATATTCCTAATAATGATTGAGATTTTATTTAACCTCAAACTATTTTGGACCCTGGCAACAGCATAATGCTTATAGTTCATAAAAATATCAAGAAAAGAAGGATTGGAACCTAACCTTCTAAACTCAACCTCATCTGTCACTTTCATCTTCATCTTGTCAAGTCTAACAAAATACTGAGAATATTCCAAGGAATATTCAAAGATAATCCTCAGATGATCTGATTCTTCAGTAGTGTGTTGTATTATGTTATCTGCATTCATTATTCAGTATGAATAATAAACTAGATTCTGATTTTGTGAAAGGTTCATCCGGTAATGCACCCAACTTACATGTCAGGGATGCGTGAGTGGCATTTTATATGGTTGTATTGGATTGGTCACCCTAGGTTTCGTCACGTGTTTCCCTGGTTTTTCATAATGTGAAATATCATGAATTTCAATAATAAATTATTTTTAAAATATACAGAGCTCTGAAGAGAAAAAGGTTTGTGACAGTGAACTATTTAGTTAGGGTTAGTACTTTGATATAATGAAATACAATGTTTCACTGAAAAAGGCCAATTCTCAAGTTTTCAATCCCACTGCAAGTTGAAGAACTTCTAATGTGGCATATGTTAATCACCCAGTATAAATGCTATGCTTACCATTTTGATGATTTCTGGATAGACAGGTTCAGTAAGGACCCCTCTACCTCCAGTGATGTAATCAACTAGTTCATTGAGAGTACATCTTTTCACTTCTTTCCCTTTCAGATCTGCAACTGGATCCATGAAATCGAAAGCCACACAGCACTGTCTGAGTTTTCGCATAAACAAGTCCTCCTGTTCAGAAGCTGGCACATCTAAAAAAAACTCATGGGAATCAGTATAATACACTTTCAACAAATCATGAAACCCCAGTAAATACCTGGGAAGTGCTCATACAATGGAAAACCAAAGCTGCCCTGCACATGCACATACAAAATAATTTGATAACTTGAATAACAAAGACGGAAATAAGACTCTGCTGAACATGTATTCACAATAAAGGTCTTACTTGAACAGGATTTGTAGAAAGTAAATACTATTAGAAATTTTTCAAGTAAGTTTTACTTTTTCAAAATAACAGCTAGTAACTGTTAAATCACAATCCACAACAAAAATAGGACTTTCTATTTACAATTTATCTATGATATGAATTATTTCTGGAATTTATATATTCCAAACATAAGTTCATGAAATAATCTGAAATGATTCTTCAGAATTTTTTTTTCCGTTACATCAGAAAATACTGGGTGCTTGGAACAAATGACTTACAGAGTACTACTTGATTTTTTCATATGGAATACCCTATACTTCATTGTATTTTTAGATTCTTCCTGAAGAGCTGATTTAATTGATATATCACACTTGGGGTCTAGTGGGAATGTTTACAGAGATATAAGGTGTTCAGAATCGAGATTTTTCAAATTTTAGGATTATTTTCTGTTGAAACTATTCATCACTGGGCGAAACGGTTTTCATGTCCCTATCTCAACTTTTGATTTACTATCTAGTGACATTTAATTGAAACATTTACATGGTGGTTCAAGATTCAGAATTCTGATCACCCTGTATCTGTTCCAATTATTAAATGTCAGTAGATAGTAATTCAAAAGTTGTTGTATGGACATGAAAGCCGGTTTGACGAATAATGAATAGTTTCGTCACAAAAAAAAGTTGATAAATCTGGATTTTGAACACACTATATCTCTGTAATCATTCCCTCTTGACCCCGAGTGTGATACATCTATCAAATCAGCTCTTCAGGGAGAATCAAAAAATACAATGAAAAATAGGGTGTTTCATTTAAAAAAATCAAATAGTACTCTATAGATCGTTTGTTCGGAGCACCCTGTATCTTCTGATGTAGCAGAAAAATACTTCATCGAAAATCATTTGAGATGATATTTCAAATTTTGAAATCGGTTAAAAAAAAACTGAGCTAGAGGGGGGGACATTTATGGTGAATCACCCATATGCATTTGGATCTTTGCTTGGATCTGCAACTATGAAAGTATTATACCTTATACTCAACTCAACTCAACTTTATTCATTTTGTAGACCATACAAGGTATAAAACAAGTCACAAGTTACATTTACATTTTGTATATATAGGTACACATATAAGAGTAAACACTAAACATACAATTTCATGAGTAAAACTTTTGAGAAATAGAGAAAATTGATAAAAAATAAAATAAAAAGTAGAGCCAGTACTAGAAATCCAGAAACTCATCTACTGTGTAGTGACATTTTTTGAGCAGGTATTGTCTAAGAGATTTCCTGAACTTGAAGTATGTCCCTTGTTCTTTGATGATATGCGGAAGCTTATTATATATTCTGATACCACTAGATATTGGACCATTCAGTGCTATATTCAAATAGTTTTGAGGTGTATATAAGTGGTGACTATGTCTAGTTGAATAATTGTGAATACTGTCATTTTGAGGAATACAGTGTTTATTTTTATGAATGTAACAGGATGTTTCCAAAATATAGAGGCAACAGAGAGGAAGTATATTCAATTGTTTGAACTACTGTTTGCATGAATCTCTGCGTCTCTACTACTTAATAGGTCAATAATTGTTAATTTTTATTCAATTTGTCCAGTGGTTTATTCCAGGGTTGGGCTGATTTAAATCAATTGATTTAAATCAAGATAAAAATCATGATTTAAATCAAGTAATTTTTTTTCAAAATCACAATTTAAATCAAAATAATAATTTCGAGAACATTCATTATTTATTTGAATAATAAAAAATATTAAACTGAAATAAAATAGTAAAACCCCTAAAAAAACGGGATATTGAAACATATACATATGTATATCTTAATCATACTCTACATTATTTTATAATCATAAGTTTTCTGACATTGAAAATAACATAGAACATTTTGATTATCATTATAATATTTAAACAAAAATACTAATTTTCCTGCCTTTTCAACCCCCAGTCTATTTCTCAAATCTGAATTTACCAGCCCAAAGGTACTGAACACTCATTCCACTGAGGCTGAAGAAGCAATAGCACAAAGAAATTGTTTTAACACAGGTATCTGTTTCTTGATTTCTGATTCATTGTCAACTTGTGATAGCCACCACTGAATTCCACTGACGGTTTTCGTAATTTCTTCAGAGAACATGATGTTTTTGAAGGGCAAAGAACAAGCATTAAATTTTATTAGTAATGGTAATAATCCACTATTACCATACATTTCTTTTATAGTTTTCAAAGCCAAATTTTTTTCATTGACAGTCAACCTGTACTTTTGCTTAGATGGGTCCATCATAAATAAGCTATCAAGTGGTAAGGGGTCAGTGCTTGTTCATATCGGCGCTGAAATTTTTGAAGCTGTTGTATTGATAGATTTTGATCTTCTTGGAAGATATATTTTAAGTTTTTCCATTGTTCCACGTCATTTGAAAGAGTATGTTGACATGAATGTTCACAGGTAACTATATTTATTGCGCATTAAGACCAAAATAAAAAAAAATAAAAAAAATCAAAAAAACCCAAAAAAATCATGATTTTCCTATTTAAATCAATGATTTTTGATTTTTTTTTAAATCAAGATTTGCCCAACCCTGGTTTATTCCAGGAGCTAATATGCATGTGATACAGGAGACATTCTACTCCAAGTACTACTTAATAGGTCAATAATTGTTTATTTTTATTCAATTTGTCCAGTGGTTTATTCCAGGAGCTAATATGCATGTAGAACCTACCATACATATTAGCTCCTGGACTAAACCATGCCTTCCAGTCTTACTTTGAGGGTGATGCATAAGGAGCACTTAGATATATTATTTATCTCAAAGTGCACTGAGAAGTCAATCCATTAGTGCAACCCTATTTTACAAACTGTGGTCTGTGCTGCAGTGACATATCAAATGGTTGTTACACAATCATAAGTATCAGAATACTATCACACTACAAAATATGACAAAATAAATCCATGTGAATAATTTTGAATTGTAGGAGGCTAACCCCTACAAATTGTAATGTTTCAGTTTTCAGTTAGGTTGAATAATTCCTCATTTTCTCCAATGCTAAAGCCATGGCCAAACCTATACCCTTATTTTCAAAATGATGAATGAAATTTGATCCATATTTACAAGAAAGAAATCAATATAATGACCAAATGCATGTGGAAAGATAAGCACTAGCACAAACCCATCTCCCCAATAGGAAAATATTTAGTAGCCCCTAACTAGGAATTCCTATTAGTTTATTTTGATATGTTTGCAACTCTGTTAGCAATATGAGAAAGAGAGGAGAGTGTAAAAATCATGTATTTGTATTTTATAAACTATGTTTTCATGTTAATAGGAAAAATACTGTTTAGTTTAGTAGTGACTGTCAAACAAAATAAAGGCCAGATTGTTTGTAGTAGATATTTCCATGCTATCTGATCCCTATCTACTATTCCCACTGTTACTAATTTCAAGTTCATTGAAAAGGTGCATGTGAGGGTGCATGTATGTGACTGTATAATAATTGTGGAAAAGTGCTAGTATAGGTAGTAATTGTTTATTCCGGTTTTTACACTACTGGGTAAAATATTGGATAAATATAAAAACAAACCTTTGAGAAGAGGCAGAGGCTGAAGCTCCACATCTTGAGAATTGCGATACCTAGAACTGCCTTGTGACTTTTTGGTCTTCTTTTTGAGGGACCGTTTTGCAAAAGGATCAATTCTATCAACGAAAGCCGTCGTCGACATCCTGGTGCCCAATAATAAGTAGTTAGGTATGCAATAATAACAATGATCTAACACTATTTACAATAGGGTACACTGATTACACTTCATTTCACTATCCTTTTATTTCCAAAATTGAAATGCACAGTTTATATATCCATTGGACTATATTTATAGTTCTTCGGTTTTCAAATTTATGAATGATCACTACTCAACAAGGTGTGTGCTTATAAGTCAGAGCACGCCCAATGCTCATACGCCCAAAATTCACTCGAAATTTTACGTTTTCGTAAGCGAATTCCCCAAGAATCAAATAAATATTTTAATTTTATGATGAAAATCACTTAAAACATTTGATATTATGTCAACGAAATGTTAGGAGAACGAAACTGCCAAGCGAGTCCAGGCATTTTCACCCGCTGTCAGCTGGTTATTCATGCACCAAACGCTTTAGATCAATTGATTTTCATACCCTGTGATTATTTACATTCATTTTAAGCACTCTCTACATTGGGTAAAAGTATATTGTTCGCGATGTTTTACAACGTTACGAAAATTATTTATTTTTTAGTAGCTTTCGCTCACTGAACCAGTTCGAAGCCGTAAGTACTTAAGGCTGAAAATCCTAAAATTCTATGAAACTACGTGCTAGTCAAGCACTCATCAATTCATCAATCAGCCTGTCGCTTGTCGTTGTCGGTCGCCAGATGGTCGCCAGTTAGAGGTCGGAAAGTATCGATACATTTGGTATCGATACTCAACGATACTGACAGATGACATTTTATTTGTTGAATGCCAACTGTCACCTTCGGTTTAGATTACTGATCTATGCATAGAATTCATAGTTCAGGATATATTTATGTATGTATAGACAGACTATTGTATTATAATCAGTTTCAGAGCAATAAAAATTCAGTTACTGAAAGAAATCTGCTATCTGAAGCAAGTCCGCAAAAACAACTCACGAAAAACATACACAAAAACTACTCTGTTAAAATGCATGAAATTGCTAAAAAGGAATATAAATTCCTTTACTACATAAACTGCTCGTCAAAAAGCATGACCAGGATTAAACTTGCAAACATCTGGGAAAAAGAACAACCACACACAACTGATGTAATTGTCCAAACCAAAAAAGGATTCTTACTGAAAACCAACACCTCAAAGATGATTATAACTAACCACTTGGATATTCTGAAACAACAACTTGTAATAGAAAATTACACCGAAACACAAAACAAAGTTCACAATACCAGATCCCCTCAGAAAGCACCTGAATCATTTTCAGCAGTCATCAAAAATGTTGAACAAGAAATCGAAGATTCAGAAATCAGTGAGCACCTGTCAAAATTAAAACTGGAACACAGATACTGCAAACGCATAATTTCGAGAGCAACTGGACAACCTACTTCATTTATCAGAATTATCACCTCTAACATCCAAGTATATGAAAAACTGTTGAATGAAGGCCTGTACTTCAAAAAACAGCATTACCTCATTTACGTCAGCAGCCCTCCTCTTCCGACGCCGGTTCCCTGTAGCCGTTGCCTACAATTTACCCATGAGACCGAAAACTGCAATACCCAATTGAAGTGTAACAAATGCGAGGGAAACCACGCTACTACAAAATGTTCTACGAACCTCCCAGCCAAATGCATTGCATGTGGAGCTCTCGACCACCAAGCTTGGGCATTCAAATGTCCCAAACGTCCCACCCAACCAATTGAAGGAATCCCCAACTCTCCTATCAAACCGCTGAACAAGCCATCGAGGGATATAGATCAAGAACGCAAAAAAGGCACAAAAATACACACAACCATCACTATCCACGATCACATAGTAAATACTTACATCCGTAAACTAAACAAACCTGAAAACATAAATAGACAAGAGCTACTCCAGAAACTCAACCGCAGATTCAGAAACGAATTCAATATTGACACTCAAGCAACTTTCCCGGGTGGCAACAAGGCATTCATATTCATGTTCGACCTGGATACTCCAAACTCCACATCTCCAACTGAACCCACACAAGGCTCGATAACATCAGTTAACATTCATGCTCCTTAACTTATTGTATGCAAACATAAACAGCTATACACCAAAAAGGCACCTTATAAACAACTTCATAGAAAACAACGAAATAAATTGTACCCTTTTTGTTGAAACTAAAACCAAAGAAACCAGCAATACTCAATATAGGAACTGGAACATTATCCAAAAAAATGGACATATAGTTGATAATGTCAGGGGAGGAAGTTTAGTTCAGGTTTGCCCTACTCTGAAAATGAAAAAAGAAAATGCCCCAAGAATTAACAATCCACTAAGTGAGGCTCTCCATTTCTCTATACCCTTCAGAGAAGATAAATTACACATCTTTCTGATATATGTACATCATACTTCAGTAGAAATTGAAAATACCATATTCAACAAAGCTGCAATTTATAAATACTCCTTAATCATAGGTGATTTCAATGTTGACAGAACGAGAAAAAGACAAATTAAAAATTTCATTGAAAATTCAAATTTCAAAAAAGCGGAGACACCTCCCACCTTTTTAATGCAAAATAACCCAGACAGCACCCCAGATTTGATATTATTTACGAGCAATTTGGAGAACAGTATTGTAATTGTGGAGACTCTGGCAGACCTTGGCTCAGACCATCTAGCATTTCAGATATCGATTGAACTAAACAGACAGTGTCCTGCAGTAAATGAGTACAAATTAAATTTCAACAAATGTGACATCGAAGAAGTTAACGAAGACATGGCGAGATTTACGAGCATCCCACAAGAAATGAGTAATGAGATGATACAAGAATTCAACAAAAACTTGGAAGAATCTGTCAAAAAACACTCACCTAAAGTGGATATTAAGTTCTATCTACACGAGTTACCTCCCTTTATAATAAGTTTGATAAAAAACAAGCGCAGAATGTATCGAGAATATAAAGTATCACATGACCCTGCTATTAAACAACAAATCAACTTATACAATAAAGATATACATAAGCTTATTAAACAGTATAGAGAAAACAAATGGTTGGAAACATGTCAAGAAATTAACCAACAACAAGGAAGAAACTACTGGAACCAAATAAAAAAATGTTCCCGATATAAACCTCGTTATATAATCCCAACAATAGAAGAAAACGGTCAAGTATACAACTCGGACGAGGATAAATCAAACATCTTCGCTCAAGTATTTGAAGAAAATTTCACCGCAGCTGATAATCCCAACTTCGACCAGGAAAATTCAGATTTAGTCAACAGGTGGTACGAAGATTTCTTTGGTAGGGACATAGAGCTCCATGAATTCGAAACAAACGAAGAAGAATATTTCACTATCTTACACAACCAAAGAAATTCAGCTCCTGGCAGCGATAACATACCCTGGTCAATTCTGAAAAAACTCGATTACAATATTCATCTCTATATAATGAAAATTTATAACTTCTGCATCAAAAACCAATATTTTCCGGACATCTGGAGGAGAGGAACGATCGTGGTAATTCCTAAACCCAATGCAGACCATTCCAGAGCAAACAACTACCGACCAATCACTCTGCTTCCGGTTCTGGGAAAGTTCCTGGAAAAATTGATTAAAAACAAACTTTCGGAATTAGTGAGTCAAAAAATTCCACCATATCAATTCGGATTCAAAGAAAACTGTTCCACACTCCATCCATTAGTTATTCTGGCATCCAATGTACAAACAGCTAGAATCAACAACCAATGCTCTAGTGCGGTATTTCTAGACATTAAAAAAGCTTTTGATAGTGTCTGGCATAAAGGCTTATTATTCAAACTCCACATGCTAGAACTTCCTTCCTGGATGATACATATAGTGAATAGTTTCCTCTCATCAAGAAAACTCTCAGTGAAAATTAACAATGCTTTCTCCAACGAATTTTTTGCCACACAAGGTGTACCCCAGGGTTCGCCTTTGTCACCTTTGCTGTATAATGTATACTGTGCTGATTTACAAGAAATACAGCAGGTTGTAAATCAACAGACATACATTTTACAATATGCAGATGACACAGCATTAATATCACACCAGAGAACCAAAACAGCCGCCATTCAACAACTCCAACAATTAACAAACCAAATCCATACTTGGTTCAACAAATGGAGACTTCAAATCAACCCTCTGAAAACGGAAATGATAATTTTCAATCATACCCCATCCATCAACTCTCCCACTATCACTATCAACAATCACCAAATACATCCACGCTCCACTGTAAAATATTTGGGGGTCCATCTTGACCACAAGCTGAATTTCAATCACCACACAGCAATTGCAAAAAATAAAGTTAAGGGAAGAGCAAAGCATTTCAAATCTTTAACATATAGAGACCATGGCATCAACATCAGCACCGCTAGTAAAATCTACAAATCAATTTGCAGACCAATATTAGAATATGGCCACCCTCTATTCCTGAACATAAGAAATCCCGCAATGAAGAACCTGCAAATCGCCGAGACCTCCGCACTACGAACCATCACTAGAATGCGTCATCCAGACAATGTGCTACACAACCCACCCAATGATCTGCTATATTCCACGACCAAGGTGCAAAGGTTACAGGAAAGACTGCCAACTCTGTCTAAGAAATTTGCCTCCAAGCCTGAGAACATGAATCTGATAACTCCACTGATTCTAGAAAGGACCAATGCTAGACCAAGAAACAAATTTCCAGAAAAGTCGCTGATAACACTACTTCAGGATCTAACCGAAATTCCATAATATATTTTTATGTAATGTAAAATATTATTGTTTTTTTTTTTTTTTTTTTTTTTTCAACAAAAACTGTCTTCACTCTTTAACCAACTCAAAAGGAAAAACATTTCAAGAAGAAAAAATAAAACATATTGGCTGAAGGACTCAGGTCGATGGCCAGTTGATTGTATTGTACATATGATCAATAAAGCACTTTATTATTATTATTAAAAATTCTACCTTCTTGACAATAGAGCAGTTCAGCTACCGTTGAGAGAGAAAAGAAATGTCTTCCCCATATGTCCTTGTCTTCAGTGTTCCAACATAAAATAATGAGAATATTATGTTGGCATCATTGAAAATGAGTAAAAATGGAGAAGAATATCATATTAACCTCGATATAAAAGAAGGTTAGAACGGTCTTCTTCTCCATTTCTTCTCATTTCCAGTGTTGGCAACATAAGATTTTCATTATTTCATGTTGGAACACTGAAGACAAGGACAGATAGGAAGACATTTTTTTTCTCTCTCAACGGTAGATGATTGATGAAATTCTTTGTTAGTATCGATATATCGATACTGGGCAGACTATCGGAGTATCGATACTTTCCGACCTCTATCGCTTTTAAACATAGAACAGTTTGATACCAAGGTTGGTAGAAGGGTAGAACTCAAGGTCTGGTAGAACTTTGATATATTTACTACTTATACAGGGTGATTCACATAAGAACCGACATAAAGCAGGGGCATTTAGGAGGTCCCAAATTATGGCAATTTAACGCAACTTACCTCTATACCAAGTTGCTTCCTCAAGGAGTTATAGGCTTTGAAAGTGAAG